AATTAAATCTGATGAACTAAATTGCTAGAAGGTAACGCTTCTGCTTTTTGCTGCTTTTGCTCATTTCTTGCTTTCCATTTGTTGCAATTTATTAGATTGCAGCTTAATATTTCATATTACTTATAAAAATACATCCACTAAACACCAAAATCAGTTTCATACTATTCTCAAGTTTTAGAAGTTGCACGAGCGAGGTTTAACTCGAGGTAGTTCTAGTAAAACATCTCGCAGAGAGGGAGCCGCAGTGAATAATTCATTAGTTAATAACCCAATTAGTTTGTGACCAGTAAGTTTATTTAAGTAATAATCAGTTTCTCACTGAAAGTACGTCACTGAGTGTTAATAGTTAATATGCAACCGACGCAGAACGAATACAGAAGATTTGTTACTTCTGGTTTAGAAACACCGATCACTAGTTATTTTCCATTTTTTGGCCATAGAAATGACCCTCTCTTTTAAAATCTCTTCACTGTCACTTTCTCTCTCTCTCTCTCTCTCTCTCTCTCTCTCTCTGTGTGTGTGTGTGTCTCTTTCTTTCGTTGTTTTAAATTTTAGTAGGGAACCTCTTCTAAAAGGAGAGAAAGGCATTGACGGAGGGAGATAGAGAAGCCAGTAGGGAGAGAGAGAGAGCGAAAGAAAGGGAGACAGGGGAGAGGTTTGAAAAGAACGAATCTCGGTCCTAAAACCTTTTTAATTAGAGGAAGGCGGTGTAACAAGAAAAAGGTCTGAAACAGGGAGGTTAAAAAAGGGAGAGGCGAATTACATAATTATTATAAAAAAACCAATCTGAAATCTGTTGCGTGTTAATAAAAAATGACTTTCCAACAATGGGTTTTGGAAAACTTCCTTCCTTCGAAAATGTGGTTTATCTTGTAACCTGCAGAGAGCGGGATGTGAAAATTGACTATTACGTTACGCGGAATAAACATAATTTTTTTGCCTCGTCTGACGGTAGAATCTAAATAACCGGAATTGAATAGAAAACAAGTCGAATTCGTAGCCTAGTTTCGAAACATCGCACGAGACGTAAACTATTAGACGGGTTCTTAAATAAGTCGGCAAACTTTAACAAACTAAATTCGGGTAAATTTAGTGGAGCGTGTTTGGAACGCATAATGCCTTCTAACTGGTGTCAGGTGTGGGAACGGTAGCCGGGATCCTTTTGACAAGCGGTGGAGTAGTAGGGTAGTCAGGTGTGTAGCGAGCGGATTCGGAATTATTTTCCTTCGAGCAACGACTTAAGCCCTTACCTATTTATTGAAATTCTGTATTGTAGACGCATGCAGCGATTAAGATGCGACGCAGTACATATAGCGGAACCGAGTCTCTTTAATTAAACGTCATTCATTTAGAGGCTCTAATTCTACCAAATTAAGTGTGATTACGTCTGTTACAAAATAAAAACGTTTATGCCAACTCAATTTAGGCGCTGAATTATTTTTGTGCTGGTGGTTATGATTCAAAAACCCCAACCTAACGTGTGGAAAAATCATATACCGATAATAATTGAGAACAACCAAGGTTTTAGTTTACTGGATGATGGTAACACATTGACAATTGATTTGAATTCTTTGCTTTTCCACTCTATTTTATCATTAGGTAAGCTTGCAGAAATAGTAAATTACTTAAGCCTTTCATTTTCTAACGAGCAGAGACCGATTTTTACGTTTTAATTATTTTATTCAAAAGATTTTTGTAGTCGCAAGAATTATGTATGTGTCTTTTAACATGTAATTTAAGAGATCTCCAAGTATCTGTCCTGACTCTACATATCTTAAATATAGATTATGATCAAACTCTGGACTGGAACCTTCGGCACTATACTAACACACAATAACGCGTTTTACCACAAACCGAAACTCAATTATACGTACTCGACGCAAGTTGGCAGCTTCAGGAGAAGATTAAAACTAAACTTAATAGAACAAATGTTCTCCATATATATACCCATCGGGAAGTGAGAGGGGGAATTACGCACTGTTCACGCAACCAATCATCGCGTATAATGGGCTAAATGGGATTGAACCCCGGTCCTTGTTCAGTGCCTTATTTACATATTTAACTAATTTTAAATTACTAATATCTACCTTATGATTATTGTTGAACATATGTTCGGCTACACCTGATTTTTCTAATCTAGCAAATTTTAAATAAGCTAAATGTTCCTCAAATCTAACATTAATTGATCTTTTGGTTTGCCCTACATATGACTTGTCACAATCGTTACAACATATTTCATAAATTCCCGACTTTTCAAGGGTATCTAGTTTATCCTTGGGATTACCCAAGAGATTTTTTAATTTTGATCCGGACTGATAGACACTTCGAAGACCTGCGGCCCTGAAAACTCTATCTAGTCCACTTGTATATTGGGGAGAGAAAGGAATTGAGACTACTTTTAAATTTTCCTTATCAGCTTGATAAGTCGTTGATTTTTGAAGTTTGTTTTTAAATCTAAATTTCCTAATTAACTTATCGATAAAACTATCTTCATAGCCATTGATTCTAGCCACCTTTTTTATAAGGCTTCTTTCCACCCCAAACCTTTCTTGATTTAAAGGAAATGTGACAAGTCTATGGACTAGAAAATTAAAACTTGCCACTTTGTGTTGAAAAGCATGGTTAGAATCATTGGTTATGTATCTTAAAGTACTAGTGTCTTTCCTATAAATGTCAAAAACTAAATGATTTTCACTGTTTTTGACAACGAGAACGTCCAAAGAAGGCAACTGCATGTTACTTTCTATTTCATATGTGAATTTAATAGATGGGAAGTAATTATTCAAATTTGAAACAAAGTCATTTAAATCCATGCAAGTTGTATCAAAAACCGCGAAAACATCGTCGGCGTATCTATACCATATCCTAGGAAAGTACTCGAAATTTACTTTAGCATTCTGTTTAAAATGATGAATGAAAAGTTCAGCCAGGAAAGGAGATAAACAATTTCCCATGGCCATGCCATTTTGTTGTTCATAATAGTTGTGATTATATAGAAAAATATTTTGACTCATGCAAAGCTTTGTCAAAGTGATTAGCTCTTCAATTATATCTTTACTGTAGTTATTATATTCGAGTAATTTCCTGAGATATTCCAAAGTTCAAAGTCTTTGATTTTATCAATAAACTCTTGCGAGTTTTTTACAGAAAAACTTTCTTTTTGATGTTTTAAATTTCCAAGTTCTGCAACCAACCACTTTGAAATATTATATGTTGGAGAACCTATAGCTTAGGCAATAGGTCTCATTGTTTGTCCAAATTATATTGTTTACCTAAAATTCATAAACCTGGAAAAACAATGGGACCTATTGTCTCAGCTATGGGATCTCCAACATATAATATTTCAAAGTGGTTGGTTGCAGAACTTGAAAATTTAAAACATCAAAAAGAAAGTTTTTCTGTAAAAAACTCGCAAGAGTTTATTGGTAAAATCAAAGACGTAAGGCTAAGTGAACATGAACTTTTAGTATTTTTTGATGTCTCCTCATTATTTCCAGGCGTTCCTATAGATAGATTATGATCATAATAATAATTTTTAAAGATAACAACGTAGTTTTCTCGCTTCGAGGGAAAGAGTGTTGATTGTTTTTCGATCGTACAAAGACATAAAACAATGGAGACAATGCACTCCCGAAACTAATCACCCGCACAAACAACAAGTTCCGAAACTTGGAGGGTCGAGTGATTCTACTTGGGGAACTCAAATTTACCATCACTAATCTCAAAGTTAAAGTAAAGTTTATGTAAAATCTTTACTATCAACCGGATTGCCATAAACCCGAGCAGAACTACTAATTACATCGATTACAAAGTCAAACTTGGGGACCGAGGACAACTTTTCGCCTAAACTTTACTGCTTTAATTGCACGAAATGCAAAATTGAAGAGGTCGGAAAGCTCGAGTTATTATTTACAACGCGTTTCAACTTCTGCGCGTCGGTGGGCCGAAAATCGGAGAGGTTTTTATTTAGAACGGACGATATTGTGAACGATTATGTAGAACGTTTCCGGTTAATTTAATAAAGTACAATATACCAGAACCCAAACGATATAAACTCGAATCGTTTATGCTCAGATACGAAGGTTGTAAATTCCGACGTCAGGATAAATTTCTCGAAAACTTTGAACGTAAACTATTTTACGTGAATTTTATTATTCTGGCCGCTTTTTATTATTGTTCGTAACCGCTTCGGGGGAATTTATTTAAAATTTTTATTTCGTATGCGACATTAAACCGACCCACCCAGTCATTTATAAACATTTATTATTATTATTGGGAGGTAAATAAAACAAATACTCTTTATAAGACGCCTAAGAATTTTTAGAAATAATATCAACGTTTTTCATTTTTTACAGTCCGTGATTCTCCGCCTTGCCATGTGCCTGACAGTTAGACAACCAACAATGTTCATTCTCAATATCACTTTCATTATAACATGTTTTGTTGTTTTTGTTTTTGTGAAATTTTTGATAACGCTATTAAAGTACAAAAAATCATCTATCCGAATCCTGAATTCGTATCTTGTTCTGCACGATTTGCTCATGTTTCAACTACTTTTTTATTTGATTCGAACGGATAACAAACTTTTTTTGGGGTGGGTAGCGGAAAATTATTAGCAAAAGTTTTGATCGAAAACTTTCACTTCCTAATGTATCATGGCGGAAAGAAGTGGCGCTCCCAAAATTATTTAATGAAGAAAAAAAAAGACTAACAACTTCATTGGTTACGATTTATCCGTTCGAAACAAAGCTCCTGCTTGAAAAACGAGGAACAAATGAACAAAAAAAAGTTAACGTTTTAAAACATATTTCGATGACGTGTCGTAAAAAGTGAAAATTTTGGATTAGTCAATCAATGGAGCCTGATTAATATTAATATTAAAAACATTTGTTTTTACCTGATTTAAAGAAATTCGAATCCTATAGTAGGGATTTATTCTCATGCAACCAGTGCGGTGAACGGCATTTGACTCGTGAGTTTATTTAACACGAGCGCAGCCGACTGGTTTCGCTATTCTTCGAATACCAGTTTGTTGCTCCTGTTCATCAAAACTGTGGGTGGCCAGCATATATATTTTCTTAAATGAGTAAATAATTCGGACGTACCGTAAGTAAGTATTTTTCGGTGTTCGGACGCTAAGGTCGTTAATATTTTCCTTGATATCATTTTCCAGTTAAGTCGAGAATAGTTCTCAAGGGTGCTCGTATGTTATATAATCACAGCTGCTTGACGTCGCCTTGTATATAATCCTTATGTTTCCGTATGTTTTACCACTACATACCCATTAAAATAAAACACCAACGGTTATTATTTCTGTTGATATAGAGGGGGAATGGATTTAATTCCGAATTCGATATAAAATAAATAAATTGTCGATCGGATTTGCAATTTTAACGTAATACGTTTAATTTGGATGAGCGTAATTCAATTAGCAGTGATTTAAATGATATATCTAAAAATTGAGCTTGCCAGTCGCGAATAACATCTAAAAATTGGCAAAAACGGATTTTTCAGATTATCGAAACTGCCTGCCACTTCGGACATTTCCGGGATTTTACCGCACGTATTTGGGAGCAATCGGATCTTTTCGGAGATATTTCCCACCCTTTGAATTTTGACGTATGTATTCGTATTGTTTTGCGAAAATGTACCAAAAAACTAACGGTCGTAGAAAAAGTATAGTATGTAACAAGTTCGGTAAACGGCATTTGACTCACAAGTTTATTTAGTTAAAAAGTTTACCGAACGTGTTGCATACTATACTTTTTCTACGACCGTTAGTTTTTGGGTACATTTTCGCAAAACAACACGAATACATTCACTGACATGACCGTCAGAATTGACAAATGGCAAAATTCAGGGCGTGAGAAATATTTCCGAAAACATCCGATTGCTCTCAAACCCGTGCGGTAAAATCCCGGAAATGTCCGAAGTGACTTGGATCCGTGGGAAACGAAATTGACGTGGTAAAGTGATACTCCCCGCACCCTAGATCGGCGTGTAATTACGTGTTTTATAGACGGGAGTAGAAACAATATGTTTGCCAGATCCCTATGAACCTTTTAAATACCTATATGCCTCATGCGCCAAGCATTTAGATTTCCTCATCTCTCCCATGTACCTTCCTGCGTAGGACGTGATTTCATTGAACTGCAGTGCGCTCCGCTTATGCCAAATAAATTCATGACTCGAATGCCGTTGGCCACGCATACTTGTTGCGTAATATACTATTACGTTTATTTGTTTTTTTAACCACTCTTAAGAGAGAAGAATTTCAACCCAGCAAAATGATTTCTATGTTTTTATATAAATAAATTATGAGCCGCAACTACAGAGTTTAAAAAAATCATCGATCTAAATCCTGAATTCATATCTTGTTCTGCACGATTTGCGCCTGTTTCAACTACTTCTTTACCTCTTTCGAACAAATAACAAACTTTTTTTTTGGTGGACAGCGGAAAATTATTAGCAAAAGTTTTGATCGAGCGAAAACTTTCATTTCCTGTGTTTCATGGCGGAGGAAGTGGCGCTCGCAAATTTTTTTGATGAAGAAAGAAAAAGACCAAAATGAAATCCAATTAGTTACGATTTATCTGTTCGGAAGAAGGTTTCTAATAAGTTTGAAGATAATTATTCTTTAAAAATTTGACATTTTAAAACATATCAAATATCAGATTGTTTAACCGGTGCCTGAATAATATTAATATTAAAAATATATTAAAAATTAAAGAAAGTTTGATCCTATAGCAGTGATTTATTCTGTGTTGACGTCACACCTGCCCTCCATTGTTACTTGTTGGTGTATTGCTGTGCGACGGGAGAAAATGTTTCTCAAATCCCTCTTTCGAAAGTTTTGTACCAAACTTTTTTGTTTTCTAATGCTCAAACCACAGTATCCTTTAGATGTGCTTATCTCTCCCCATATACACCCTGTGCCAAATAAAACGATCCACTATACGATCTGGAAACCCATAGGAGACACTAAGAAAAGTTTCGTACAAAAGTTTCTTGGACTCTTCTAAAGATTTAAAATGTTATAATTTTGTTGATACAGGGTGTCCCAAGAGTATTCCCCCGACATCATCGTTGTTATTTTAAATAGAAAACCCTATATATTTCAACATTTTTTGAATCCTTGATTAAAATAATGGTCACTTTCTTAAGAAATTCCTATTCGAATTTTGCATAGTTTAGGCAGAAATTGAGGTTATGTGTTTTTTCATATTTTGCTTGCCCCATATAAAATTGTGTTGTGACGCTACTGATCCAGGTATTGCAACGAAAATTAAACCACAGACTATTGAGATGATGCATTAATGAATCAGTTAGACAGATTGGCCTCAGCAGGGTATTCCAAATAGGTGGTGTAACACCCATATCAATTCTTGTTGAATTTAAAGCTGCCCACATTAGGTCACTTGTTGGCAATGTTAAGTATTTTTTAAATAGCAAAGACGTGATACTACTTCTTTTGAAGATATAATACTCTAGATATACGAATAAAACCTATTGCTAACAATACAGGGTGTCCATTAAGACATGGAAATTAAAAAAAAAATTATTGTATACTACACACTTTAACTTTAACTTTAATAAAACTTCAGAATTCATATTTGGCTTGATTGAAAATACTTAATAACAAAAATATAAAATTAAAGTATATAGGTTAACTAAAAAACTTTAAATTAATTAACAAATTAAATACATACTAACAAAAAACTTGACAACTATGAACTTTTTAAATAGAAATATGCACAAACTAGAAATAACAAACAGCAGTGTCAAAGTTTACACCTTAATGTAACATTTTTAAATATTTTGATATATCTTTGTTGTTTTGATGCCTAATGACACGAGCATTTTAAGTTTGTACTAAACTTTTTGAACCGAATTAACGAACCCGTTTTTTTTTAATTTTTTTTTATTAAAATTTGTTATCTTGGTTAGTTAGCCTATAAACTTTAATTATTTATTTTTGTTATTTGGCATTTTCAATCAAGTTGGATAAGTAACTATTAACTGTTTCTTTAAATATTAATTCTGAAGTTTTATTAAATCTGTATTGTTAGCAACAGGTTTTATTCGTATATCTGGAGTATTAGATCTTTAAACGAATTAGTATCATGTCTTTGCTATTTAAAAATTACTTATTATTGCCAGTGACATAATGCGGGCAGTTTTAAATTCAACATGATTTTATACGGGCGTTATCTCGAATATCTCAAAAAGTAAGTAAAATTTTAATATAAGATAAATTACAAACTGACTTTATTTTTTATCCTGGAATGGATGTCTGAATAAAAATATATAGGGTGTTCTGTTTAAAATAACAAAGCTGATGTCGAGGGCATCAACAAAATTATAATAGATAGATAGATTATTTATTCACAAAACCAGGTGATACAATAGATGTTTCGTCAATAAATACAAATAATAAATTACAAGTTTCATTGTAAAAACAATGTATATCATAATCTTAAGTAATGTGTAGAACGAATACGAGTATATATTTATATAACAAACATGACAAACAAGTTAATGCAATTTAAAATAAAAGAGAGTATACATTAGAAAAATCTCGGTAAACTTTTGACGTTATTTACGATGCTCTCAGGTACGCTTCAAATTCTTTCAAGCTGTAGAAAGCATTGGCCGTCAGGAGCCTCTTGATGTGTTTTTTAAATTGATTTATAGATAAATTTTTTAAGCTTGGAGATAGCAAATTATAATAATATGGTCCCGCGTAACTTAGTGATTTTTTATAAAACATATGGTTGAGTTTTGGCTTCAGCAGATGTTCTCTATTGCGAGTATTGTAACTGTGGATATCAGTATGCTTCCTATGTGAATATTTATTTTTATGTGTGATCAAAAGTATTTTAAATAGGTATATACAAGGCATTGTTAATATTTTGAGCTGTTGAAATGTCTCTTTGCATGATTGCCTCGGAGGAAGTTTAAAAATCAGCCTAAGTATTCTTTTTTGCTGTATAAACACTCTCTCAGCATCGTTCGCTTGTCCCCAGTTGACAATATTGTGTGAAATGGAAGAGTGAGCTGACGCGTAGTAAAAAGCTATTAGTGCCTTCTCAAGAAATGAATCTTTAATTGTTAATATTGCGAAAAAGGTTTTATGTCCCATCTCAAGGAGCTATCAATATAAGAACCAAGAAGCTTCGTGGTCTGATTTATTTCCAATGGCGAACCAGCAAAACTGATCGATAAGCCAGCTAAAGGTTTAATGTACTGACCAGTAAACTCAACAACGACTGTCTTTTCTACATTCACGATCAAATGATTTTGCCTACAGAAGTTATTAGACTGTGAGACAACAAGAGATACATCATCCATCAGCACTTCTGCATCTCTTCCAGAGACAAAGACGGACGTATCGTCCGCGTACATAAAGACACGACAGTCACTGCTGAGAAATTAAGGCAAATCATTCACATATAAAAGAAACAATAATGGACCCAAAGTTCCCCCTGAGGCGTGCCCAGGCTGACGCTATAAAGGTCTGAGTACGTTCCATTTATTTTGACACTTATTTTCCTATGATTCATATACGATATGATCCAATCATTGATAGGCCCCCTGATTCCCAAGCATTCCAGCTTCTTTGCCATTATACTGAAGGTTAAGGAGTCAAAGGCGCGCGGTAAATCGAAAAAAACTCCGATTACTGTCTCTCCGATATCTAGTTTATCATAAATATGCTGAACAAGTTCATTTCATTCAATATTTTATATCTTCAGGAGGGTTCAAGAAACTTTTGTACGAAACTTTTTTCGTATCTCCTATGGGATTCCAGATCTTTTAATGGGTCGTTTTACTTGGCACACGGTGTATGTTCCTGTATTGGGTTAAATTGGCAGCTAAAATTGAACACTTCCCGTCTATCTGCCAGATGCTGTTGCATATTAGTAGCGTGTTTTGTATTATAATTCGGTATACCAGAGAAGTGTTCTCCCTGAAATCCATTTCAACTTTCTGTCCGTCCTACTGCTTTTTTCCTGCGAAAATATCCCCGGGCTTGTAATAAAGCTGAAGTTTAATCGAAACCTAATTGCCTCTTATTAGGAATCATAATTAAAAAGGTTACGACGTTAACAAGGAAATAATGAGATAACCAAGAATTCCGCTTTACAATCGAGAAGCCCTGAAAATTAGGAATTTGCTCTGGCGGAATATAGAAGGGATATTGAGTGCGAGTGTGTAGGTTTGTGTCGGTGCCGTCCTCGAGGCCACAGAAACTGTGCGCGACGTTCCTATTGTGCTAATTAATTCGGAAATTGCGTAATCGCGCCAATATTTACAAGAGGAAGGAAACGTTACGGTTGACGGGGATATAACTCAGATGTCGCGCACGGGCAAAATGCAAATCCGTGTGGAATTGAAACGCCGCCGACGCCCCACGAAATGCATCATTGCGTTTCGACCGGCTGCAAACTTTGTACCGCACCGGCACGAAGAGTGGGGGTAGCCGTATGTGGAAACTAAGGGCTTATTTTGGATCTGAAGCGTATTTCTGCGGCGGCTAATTTATCGCCCGCTAGGCAATCGTTGGACGAGTGATTAATTGTTAAACGGAATGATTACTGCTTATTCGCTTATCCAAAAAGCTGCCGCAACGTTGCAGGTGTGTTTTGCAGCGTTGGCGGAGGAAAACGACGTGCAGGATCGAGAGAGTTCATATCAATTTGTTTTTAACGGCTGTAGTAGTTCCGTTTGGTTATTTCAGCGTCGTCCGTCGAAATTTCGAAACTGTCCGTTTCATTTTGCTACAATCAAACAATTAGGAATATGAATTTTAAAAATTTAGGATATCTCTCCATAAGGACAGGGCACAGTAGTAATTAAAAGAGATTGCTGGGTCTTGTAATAGAAAAGCAAAACGCAAGGATGCCTGGAGCGACTTTCTACTTCGTTTTCTTTTCTTCTTCTTCTTTTCTATTACGCTCTTTGGTATATTCGCTGTTATTTACAAGAGAATTTTATGAAATAGGAAACAGAACATCTCTGCTTTCCTGGTCGAAGTCAGCTGTGGGACGCGATATTTATTGCAAGGATTTCATTTTACCACAACGAATTCGGAAAATCTATAACCCATAAAGGTGCAAAACCACGATGAAAGTTTTTCATGAAATTTTTGTGTCATTAGTTCAAAACTTTCGTGTTTCACGGCAGAAACACTATAGAGTTGCGTGAAATATTGTGAAAAATTTCATGACGCAATATTTCACGAGACATTTGCTCATGGGCAAGTAAAATCGGTGTATCCGGTGTGTTTATATATTAAAGAAACTTGTTTTGATTATCGTTTTTAATTGGTTTATTGTGACAATGAATAAAATAATAAATCAGAAAAAAAGTAGTAAAAGAAAAGCTTGAGGTAGAATCAATTGGTGACTACAAATGACATTCAAATAAATTGAACTATACGAATCCCATGCGAATTTATGGGATTGCTCATTAAGGCAATATAAAAACCGGAATACTAGAAAAGCCTCCATTGATGCTATATCAGAAGTTATGGCGATATCCGCTCAAGAAGTTAACGATAAAATCCAAAGTCCTCGATGTCAAATTCAAAGGATAAATAGAAAACAAAAAAAAACACATATTATAGATTATACATTATATTTATTTATATTGCCACGAAACTTCACCTTCCTCTTGAAAGTATTTTGTTAATTCTTCTTATACTTTCTCGAATATTGCAATTAACTTGCAGTGGCAATAAGGCTTCAGTCACTTGTCGCCATTTACCTGGTTCGATATTACCATTTTCGTAATTTTCAATATCATTAGGGGCGTAAAGCTTCCGAGGACGGGTCATTATAAAATTATGTAAAACTCATATTTCCGACACTATAATGGACACTTTTCCTGGCTCTAATTCAATTGGCTTCCTTAAAACATGGAATCTAGCTGAAGCAATACCCAAACAATTTTCAATTATTCATTTTGCACGAGACAATCGGTAGTTAAACACCCTTTGTCTACCATGCAAGTTTCTAAACGCGTAAAGTTTTATAATATATGGCAAAAGCATCATCTGCTACTATAACAAATGGAATAGCTTTATTCCGCCCTGGGAGTGGCCTAGGTTTTGGAACATTTGAACTATTATTTTCAAGTTTTGGTGCCAAAGAGCACTTGTTAAAAACTCCTCCATAAGAAATTCGCCCCACACTTCCTACAATAATGTATACAAAGTTATAATCTGTGTCAGCCAGTGCCATTAGAACAATTCTATGCATGCCTTTATGATTATAAAAGAGGCTTCCTTTATGTTTACATGCTGTAATATGTACATGTTTACCATCAAGGGCACCTACGCAGTTCGGATAGTTCCATTTCTCGTTAATTTGCTGTGAAATTTTTAGCCATTCATCTTCAGTGGGTGGTGTCGGGAAATGACAAAAAACTACGTAAAACAAAATGCAGAAATGTCTAATAGAAATATACTAATAGTAACTATGATTAATCGAATTATGGGTTATCTTTAAACACTCTTTTTTTCAGATCAACGAAGAAGACATAACTGATAATGACTCGCAGAGTTATTTATCGGAAGATCAAGGAACTAATCTTTCAAACCATAGGTCACAACTTGTTGAAGACTCTACAGATATTTCGCGTTGGAGAACTCCAGAACCTTCTACATCCCGTGCTTTCTCACCGCCATCATCTAGGTCGCAGGACACACATACAAGCCAAACACCGTTGAAGTTGCAAAAAGGAACAATAAAAAAGACCAACAAGCCTTACTGGACCGATGTCATTCAGCAGATTCCTTTGAAATATTTGGAAACCATGTGGCAGATGAATTGCGTAACATGCATTTAAAAGCCCCTGATTTGCAGGGGTATGCGAAACGAGAAATAAGGCGAATTATTTTAAATATAAATGACAAGTATAAGTCCAGACTGACACAGAATGGTCGCTATCAACACTCTCAATCGCAAATGTCCGTTAATAAAAATTCAAATAACTTTCGCCTTTGTAGTCACAGCTGTCTACTAATTCAACAAAGCTTCGAACTAGTTATGAAAATGGTCCTCCATTGTGACGACCTGGATATTACAAAGTATTACGAGAATTGTGGATCTACTTTCTTTAAAGTGTAAATACTACTTCAATAAATGTATGATTTAAATAACTTTCGTGTAGGTATTCTCGAAACTTACCCCTCGAAACGGTTTAGAAAATAGTTGTTAGTTTATTTCAGAAATTTTGTTGCTTTTCAAAATGAAACTTCAATCAAAATTTGCAAATATAGAGAACCTCTCATTAAAAGAAAATATTCGCGATGGACTCACCGATATTCCCATGTCAAATGTAAGGAAAACATTTCAGGTGAATAGGTGCTGCCCTAAAAAAAAGTTCTCGCAAGGCCCCTCGATTAATTATATCCGCGGTAAGCTGTTGTGTTACGAGTGCAGTTTTTCCTTGTTTTAATCCTACCCCTGGTACCAGATCCGGTTTAATAAATTATCCATAATATTCCATGCCGCCACCAATTTCACTCGTTGGAATAAATAACACTCTCGGGATAACTTACCGATTCGCTATAATACCTCATTAAAAATAAAAACGCTATTTGCATTTGCGGCTTTTGTTCGATGGACATTGCAGGTAGTACACAGTATTGCGCTGCATAACTTAGCTGGTAATCTATACAAGTGTTATAAGAATTGCCTGATTGTACTAAGTGAATTGGTTCTAGGCTTTCTGATGAACAAATGACATATACATTATAAATTATATCATATATATCATTATAACAACATATATATTACACACAATTGCGAGCATTTGCACTGCTCACCACTCTCAGTATTAATTAATAAAATAGAACAGTACCAGTTTGAAAATTATATCAAATAATTTGCAATTATTTCCTTCGCCTGCACCATTTAAATTACAATACAATATACCAGGCATCCCAGTTAGGGCAACGATGTACGGTCTTAGGGAAACGGACCATTCAAAAAATTTGAAAAAGAAAATTATTAATTAAATCGGCAAAAAAAAATATTTTCGAGTTTCTGAAATGGCCACCAAGGGCATAATTGCCATTTTGAACTTTAAAAGTCGATTTCTACAATAATTTGTAACGTTAAACATGGGAAAAGTGAGTAAGTACTATTTTAAAGCTGACACGAATTCAAATGATTTTTGCTTAATGTTTTCTGCGTGATAGCGATTGCTTACATTGCCACCAGGTGGCGATTTCTGACATAATCGCAAAAACAGAATTCTTCGAAAATAGTATATTATGCAATAAGTGTGGTGTGGTGTGGTGTGGTCCCCACGCTAGATCGGTGTATAATTAGGTGTTCTACAGAAGCGAGCAGAAAATTAGTATATTATGCAACAAGTGTGGTAAACGGCATTTTGTCACGGGTCACGCATGACTTATAGTATATTATGCAACAAGTGCGGTAAATGGCATTTGACTCACGAGTTTATTTGACACGAACGGAGTGAGTGTTTAATAAACGAGAATTAGATATTCAAATAAGAAATAAAGAAATATGAATAAAAGAACTTAGGGCTCAAAAAAAAGTTAATTAAAAATAAAACACTTTATTGGCCGATTTACTTAATATTTTCTTCAAATTTCTAGGACCTTCCATTTCCCTAATACCGTACTTCATTGCCTTTACTAGAGTACCAGTTATTTAGAATAGAGAATGAAAAAGCTTTACTAAATATTGGATGTCATTGTTCTGCCCAAAGAGATGTTTGGTCGTCAGTTTATTTGCTGGTGTGCAATACGTGTCCAGTTATATTTTTAATTAATGCTATTAATTAGAGGACTCGCGACCTGAGTTGCAAGTAACGAGATATATCGAGAGTGTAGGGTTTCACGAGGTTGCGGCAGTATATGCGCTTTGCGTCGCAACGGCGTTACATTTCTTCATACCGAAGTTTTCAAACAGAAAAACTTTTACAAACCATTAGGAAACAATTCGGTGTTCTCGCTCTATTACATTCACGACATGGGATATACATGATTTTTCTCAAATTGAGTTTACTTTTTCTGCGATTTTTCGCTATAACTCAAAATTAACATTGATCTTACGAATTTATTATCATAGATCCTCACTTTTGTAGACACCTGTCCTCGAGACAATGGCCGTAGGAGATTCTTTTTTTATTTCTACGGCTTCAAGATAGATTGACACATCATACAGGCACAATATTCGTTAAATTTATTGAGATTCTTTAACAAATGAAAGTGTATATCGAAAGATGATTGCAAAGATTTGTTTTATGAAAAAGGTTTTAGAATTTTTTAATAAATTATTTGACTAACAGGAGAAGTTAGAGAAGTTCTCATCATCCGGAATTTTTTCCGGGGAACAAATTAAGTCAAATTGATCGGAATTTGCAAAAGACAACAAATTAAAGCGAACAGTAGTCCCGAACGGTCATAAATCGTTATACGTCGAAGGGTGGCCAGGTTGGTAACCGGACCGCTTAATCTGTCGGGGTGGGTCGATAATGCCGAAAAGACGGGGCAAAGGGTGGGGCGGGGAACGAAAGGCGCGCGGTCGGATATGCGGTATGGCACGGCCACAGAACAGGTGAGACGCGTTTCGAGCCCTTAAGCTCCCTCCCTAGACATATAACCTGAGGGTATTGATAAAATGCATGCAAGAAGCAAGGCGCGGTAGGTTTCGGCGGATTTATACGGCTTCAATATTGGATACTCGCTCAAAATGTTTGCCTGGTTGGAATGAAAATTTACTACGACCCGTGGGATCAACATGCTTGCCGCGCCAGTGTTTATTTAATACTTAAGTATTTTTCATGGTGACATCTACAAATCAAAATTTCCAAAAAAAACAGTTTACCTAAACGTTTTCAGATGGTCGACTATTTGAGGGTTAGTAAGTGTTGAGGAAACTTAATGGCCGATCGGGACGAAACCCCATACAGTCCTCCCATCGGCCCTTAAAATTGAAGTACTCTTTAAGGTGCGCGTTTATGGTCCAATGATAGTGATTAATACAAGTTTGCGGCACATGTGGACGAATAAGGATGAATTATTATAATTGTTTTTTTCAAAGAAGCTTCCGCAGTCTACTCTAATACTATTTACAATTTTTCTGGATTCGTCCTGCGTAGGTTGTTGATGAACTAAACACTATGAATTCAGTTAACTCTCCGAAAATTGAAGCTACACATTTCCAATTTAATAGAAGGATAGTGCTTGTGCTTGTGGCGTTCAAAAAATTCCTGAAGAAATAAACGAAAAAATGAAAGAGTTTTTTTTTTTAAATCAAAGATTATTTCGTTTTATTCAAAAAATCAACGAGAAGACTTATACCGTTGGGTACTATAACTTTTGCATTTGGTGTTGTACAGGGTGCGCCAGTTATTGGCCAAAAACTGAATATTCAATTCCGCTGGGAAGGAAAATTGGTCACACCTGAAACACTGCAAAGGGCGACATTAAGAGTCAAAATTTTTGCATGTAATGTTTTCGTAAGTTGTAGTGGGGTGGGTATATTCCATACATATGCTAGAATATACAAGTGTCCGAAATTTGCAGCTATCGGCTTGAAATTTGGCGGGACTATTAAAAGAATACAAATTTTGAGTTCTAAAAAAGATATATTCTCGAAAAGCACTTACCCGATATATAACATTTATTTTAGCCGTTCTTTCGATGATGTGCAGGGTGTGTCGGTAATAGGCAAAAAGCGAAAAGACCATCAAGACCTTTTTCGGTGGTAAATTATTAGTCTTAAATGAAAAAAACGAGAAAACAAAAACAAAACAATCTGGTTTTGTCAGTGATATAGGCCACATGGAGAGCTACAATATTTTTTGTATAGTTTTATACAGGGTGTGAGAGATCGCCCAAAATTATTAAATTGCATTTTGGGAAACTGGTTTAGTTATCATAAATTAAAAAAAAAGATTTGAACTCCTACAAAGATTTGAATTCATAGTTGAGGTATATCAAGAATTTAGATTTTGGTAAACAAACTATGGGGCCTTTGCAGTTGCAAGTTAATAACGGTTTGCCGTTTACATTGGGAAAATTGTCCATGTCGAATTGCTTGTCTCTAACTGAGATTAATTAAGATAGGAGCCTAATCTTTGAACCAATCAAAACGTCAAAATTATAATTTAGGAAATCCAATAAAACGCTCTTCGCAACAATGTAAGATTATATGCAAGATTTAAACGCCGGCTTATAATCTCGGGATTAAAGAGTCGTAAACATACTAGACAATGATAAAATATTAGTGACTTAGCAACGTTAATGAAACCACAACAACGCGTTAGGAACTGACGGTGTTCTTAGAGCTATATAGAAGCCCCGCCACGATTTTTGATTTTGCAGCAATGCGGGCATATTCCGGAATGGGACTATATTAAAAGTTGGGAGTACTTGGGGTATGTTAAACGGTAATCAATACGAGAAAACTGTTGTACAGAGATATGTTCGCTCTGGCGGAAAGTTAATGGAATGTTTTTTGCATGCTTTCTGTATAATGTGCCTTTTGAAATAGCAGCCGATCTAATTTCACTTGTCAAACATAGTCAAATATCAAAGCGTTAAATAGAGTAGCGATTTTCAACTATATTTTTTGGAATATCACCATGTATGATGGGTAAATACGAAAATTACAGCGAATCACAACGTCAAGGTAAAATATCGAAAAAATATGTCATATGTCATCCGAAAAAGGCTTATTTTTTTGGATCCGAAAAAAAAGGTTTTTTAATTTGTAAAAATACTTCGAGATTCTCGTCTCGCCCAGTTTTAACAGATTCCGCCAGGGGATTAAACTCTCTCCGTCTGTTAAATTTGAAATTGAATAACTTAAAATTTCGGACACTCACTTCGTTTCATAGCGAAGTAGGAAAATCTAACGAAAATAGGATCGGGTTCACATTATATTTTTAATATGAATATGAATATGAAATCCTTAATTTTTGTGGTTTTGATTTATTCGGTTTGTCCGGGAAAAGCTCCCGAG